AACTTCTATACTTTCAACAGCTGTACATAAATCAATATTAGGCTTTTGAAGATTAACAAATAATTGGTATGTTATACTTAACAATTTGTCAACAGTAAATAGAGTAATAATAAATTTAAAATCGCACATTTTTTTATGGAAAGAGCGAGCCATTGAACCATTGTCTTTATTGTCAGTTATTATTTGTTCTAGAGGAGCTATAATAGGAACATATTATCTTTATTATAATTTTATACCTCAACAACAACATACCTACTAACATAGAACAACAACAATAATAGTGGGTACGGGCCATGGTATCATATAAATATATAATTATATAATGTAGCAATATGTATTAAATGTTTTCATTGAATCTGAAATTCCACCATGGGGCCTGGCCTAGGGCCCTTCTATATACGCCACTGGCTTAAAGATGTCGACATTTGACGCAATATCCCGCAGCTACGGCAGTGCCTTAAATCGCTTTGTGTTTTTAAACGCGTCTGTTGTTGTTCCCAATGAACGATTTCGAAAATCAAAAGTGTTATGCATAACTTTAATTGATTAACAGTGTTGTCTCCGTAAACCGTTTAATACGATTGTTAGTTTTGCTTACGGCCGGCAATAACACTAAAAGAACATCGAACCGTATTATGATCACGTAAAACGGTCATTTCACGGGAACATAATGTTATCGTGTACAATTTATTGTAACAATCGTTTTTAAACTGACTGCCGACTGGCAACGACATTTCTTGTTTTAGCAAAAAGTGAACGTAATTTAAACATTTTCCGTTAGCTTTCTGGAAGGGGAGAGTTTAAAAATGTGTTAATTTGGTTGTTGCGTTGAAGGCCTATTATGTCAGTGCGTGGCTGGAAAATAGTTGATAGATGATTTTGAAATAATTCCACTTTAATAGAATCAGAGATAACTAGTGTTTTTGATTTTTTTTAAAGGTAGAGAGGGATTTTTAAATTTGAGTATTTTTTTTGTTTCTTCCCAGAGGCTGTCATCGGCTGTAGAAAGTTTTGATAATTGTTATTCAAGTTCATTAGATTTTAGTTTGGTTATGGTATTTTTTAAAGAATCAGCTAACTTATTGTATAATAATATGATTTGTGGGATGGTAAGCGTGTAAATTTGATACTGAGCTCGATCCCTGGGTTTTTTGACTATAAGAGAGCGGATTTGGGCTGGTAGTTGTATGAGAACTGGAATGCATTTGAATGGGTTTATTTGTTGAAGAACCTGCAGCCGAGTGAATTATTTTCGTAAAATTGTTTACTGCTTCGTCGATATCAGAATTACTTTTTAACCTAATTATGTCAAACAATATAATATGGTGTTCATTAAGCATGGTCAGTTAGCGTATTTTTATATTTTTATTTGAGAGAAAGAAGAGGTTGAATCCCGAATGGTTAAATACTTTCGGGTTTTTATTAGTGCACATAGTCCTATACAGCGTAAGGTCAAAGAAATAAAGTATTCGGTAAATTAATTTCTCAAATATACTATAAAACATTCATTTAAACAACTATTATATATTTTCGAATAATCATAATACATTTTGACACAGTTATATAACTCCAAAAAACGCACAAGACACATTCTCATCAATCAAAGAACACATTAACTCCCTTCATGATGTTACAAATAAGTCAACATATGTCTAATAGCATAGTTTTGTGACAAAATATTATCTTGATAGAGTGAATTGGAACTAATAAACTTTCATAGTTAAAAATAAGAAGATTGTATAAGATCTCAGATTACATTTTTTTTTAATGTTTTTATTAAACCGTTTTCCAATGAAACGAATACTAATAATGAAGCAGAGATAGCACAATATAGTTGATAATATTATAAGATAGAGTAAAGAATTTATATTGGCAGCAAAGGGCTTAAATAGTCTATAATGCTAAAAAAAAAAATATATCATAGGAAAAAGTAGGTATTGGGTATCGGTATCAAATGCTTGACGAAATACGTGCATATTTTAATGTGTCAAACTAAAACAATTATTTGTCTTTTCAGTACAGTGTTCATTCTATAATGAATGATTTTTCTTTTCGCTATATTTTCACCGTTGTAATAATATGTGGTTTAAATTTGACATTTTTTTTGTTGTTTGTCATTGATACCATTTTAAATAATCAACCATTGATTTATCCATTATTTCAACCATTGATTTAAAGTTTTTTAAAATGCGAATTTAATAATTCAAATCATTGCACAATTATTGTACGTTCTATCAAGATAAAATTGGTGATTATGATTAATTTTTCCATGAACTCATGTACTGTGATTTAAAATATGAATATATTTGACATAAGATTTATTAGTCATTTGATTTATAGTAAGGCCGATTCTATACCTCATATCATCAGGTTACATTTTATATACCTAAGATTGGGTCCCATAATAAACAGATTTTCGAAATCAACACTTGTAAAACAAATTATTTATGTAATGACCCTATCAAACGTACATGATGGACCCTAGTCTCCCAGATATTTAGTCCAAGTGAAGTATATCTTAAATCTTAGACGCGGACCACTCAATGTTTTGTTTTTAATTTTTTTTACATGTACTTTATTGTTATTTATATATAATTTAATTTTTATCCTAAGACATATTTTTCTTTGTAAATTGCTATCAAGCGTAAAAATATATAAATAAAATAAAATAAAATGAAAAAATATAACACATGATATATTACATTTTTATATTAAAATTAATAGCATGATGATTAATATTTTACTAATTTATCTATGGCCAAAAATAAGAACTTGATTATTTTAAATAATAAATCTATACACAATAAATTCACAAAACCATGTGATTTAACTCGAAATATATAATTTTAACATAAGGCCATAATAAAATATGATCTATTTTATAATTTCGAAGTAATGTAAGTGTATTTATTTTCTAAAATATTGTATAACACGAGAAAAAAATATTTCAATAAAATTAAGGAAAAAAATACTTTACTGATCATCTATCAGTGAACAGCTAGTAGCTAATACTAAAACAGTACATATATTGCATTGAGTTATATTCTTTATATCAAAAGAATATTTCAATGAAGAACTTTTAATTAAATTAGACTAAATAAATAAAAAATATTGTATCAGATAAACAAAAATTTCGTGGTGAATAATTTATTATTATATTTTAACATATTCTAGTTAATAACAATAGTAACTAAACGTTAAAAAAAAAAAAAAATATATTTAAAATAAACACAAACCAAAAAAAAAAAAAATAATATATATATATAAATTGAATAGTAAAGATAGTTGATTAGAAGCACCACATCGACACGAATAAATGACTAAATTTGTTTAAAAAATGACTAGGTTTTTGGTAATTATACATTATTACATTATATAAGAAATAGAAATAAACAAAAACAAAAACAGAACATTAATTGCAAATAATATCCCAAAGTTTATAAACTTTATTCTCAATTCACAATTTCATATTACACATTGCATATGTTTGTCTAAAAATTATGTGAATCTAAATTCTTAATAAATATAATTTTCTAGAACCTTTTCTTTTTCTTAGCTATACAATTAAAAACTGTAAAACAGATTATCAAACTCAAAACTCAAGTCTTATTGGTTATTTTAATTGTTTTTATAAAAAATTAAAAACTATTAATACCAGATCACATACAAATTTGATAAATATAATGAAAGAACTAAATAATATTTTAAAATTTGTTAAATTCTTAATTAATATTTTGTTTAATCTTAGTACATGATTTATAAGTAACAAAATTTATAATTTTGATTCGAATAATAATAAATATTTCAGTCTTTTTAAACTGATATATTTTTAAACAAATAATTAAATGAAATAGAACCAACTAAAAAGCATGCTTGGTATATATTTTGTCTGCATATGTTTATATTTAAATTATTTCATTTAAATTTAATGTAAATAATATATCCTTAATAATATAACCAATAATCTGACCATCAAGTTTGACGACCTTAAATACTGATAGATGTATCAAAATAAATAAAAGTCGAGTAACAATAGGAACTTGATAAAAGTGCGTTTTTACGAGCTGCTTTTAAATGGTTTATCTATTTTATAACTTATTAGTAAGTATGCATAGAATACAAAGAGATCTTTAAATGTAGAGCTAAATTTTTGTTATTGTAAACAAATGTGTATAAACAAAAATGTTATCACCAGTGCAATTCGTAGTATTTATTCCTTGAAATGTTTATAGAGCCTGTTAAAACCTTAGAATACTACTTTTATCACAGCCTTTAGGGGTTGTTGACAATATTTAAATAAATTATGTAATGTACTAATAATAAATAAATGAACACAAAAGACATGAAGCAGTATAGGTGTATAAAAAAAATCGTATACAACACACAAAAAAAAAAAAAATCAGTGAAACGCAATGGTGTACATTCATTTAGGCTTGAAACTAATATATAAATTCCATTAACAATATTTTATTTAAAAATTGAATAGTTAAATTGTATGATTTTTATCCATGATTAAAGTTGTTTTTAATGATATATAAATGTATTTATTTATTTATGTATATAGAAGTAAATAGTTGTACATTAAGAACACTAGTACTAAAAAATATTGTTAATTTCAAATTAAATATAAACAGTAAATATTTCTTGTAACACTTATATGAAGTAGAACCAAGAGGTAAAAAACAATTTAAGAACTGTAATAAAACTAAATTAAATATTAGAAAAATAGGTAGTTGTAGTTAATAAATTAATTGAATTAAATGGAAAATTGTAGTATGAAAATAAGCCACAGTGAATAGTTTGGTCTTTCTTTAATTCAGATAGGCATCTTCTCAATAAAAACGAAATTGTAATATAATGTTAAAATTAATAAAATATAATATGATTTATAAACTCAATTTATGTGAAATTCAAGTTTTAACTAAATAATCAAATATACTGAAAATAGTTTAATACCTTCAATGAATATATAATCTATTAATTTATAATTTAATATTATTTTAATCCCTCGCAAGCTCAGTAGGTTTAAAAATTTGATACCGACGACATCTGTAAAAAAAAATTCCAAAAACAAATAATTTAGGAAAATAAATTTATTATAACGTGTTCATTGAGTAAAAATTAAATTAAAACTTCACATACCTAGCATTATTTTCAACAAGATTTTGTACATCCGACGAGTACATACTCGGCGGCGGTATAAGGGTAGGAGATGATAAAATATCAGTCTCATAATTTCGTTCAAGACTTCTACTCGATGATCCTGACACAGGTCTATAATTTGAAAATAATCCGGTATTGTCATCTTGACTACCAGATAACCTATAAATTTGTTTAATAATAATAATTTCATCAATTGCCAATACTTATAAAAATAGATTTCATATTTTGTCAATATTAATTACGCTAACATGAAATGAATGGATAAAAATATATTATTCTAAAAATTACAATATTGAATTTACAATATGCTTAAAAAAAAGTCTTTAACTTGATTTAATTATAAAATCTAAAAATACAAATTCATACAAACATAAAACAATTACAAAATAACAAAAATATTGAATAACAATTTTCATGTACTAAAAAATACATTGTTAGAAAAGGTTTGATAGGAAATTAAAAAAAACGAGTAGTATCCGAGTGCAGAGCTATGTATGAACATTAACTTTGTTTAGTCATGACTATATTATATTAAGCTGTCTGTTAATTTATTCATTATTTTTAATAAATTTATCAAGCTAGAATAATTTAATTGTTTATGATAAGTCGTTTAAAACAACAAAATATTAAAGATTTTATTAATAAACCTATATTCTGGTCTTATTAACATTTAGCTGTAAAAATATTAAATTCCATGAGCGTGAGTATAAAATTATATTTGTTCATACATACTAAATTCCATAATCAATAGCCAATAAAATTAAGATAATTAAAAAAAATTTTAATTTTATTATAATTTATATTATAAATTCCTTTTACTCCAATTGAAATTCAGTAAAATTTCAAAATACTCATTTACCTAGATCTATAGTATGATTCTCTGGACCTTCTCATTTGAGGTCTTTGAAATCGTAAATTTAATTGAGATGGATCAGTAACATATTTATCTTGAAGTTGTCGACGTCTTCTAAGACCTGGGGTATATTGATCATCAATATCATCAGAAGCAGGTGGTGGTTTACTACGCACATCTGTGAGTAAATTTTGGCCACGGCTTTTCAAAAGTGCTTCTGATAATTGTTTTCCACTATTACTAGTAGCACTAGATTTGGATTCATCACTATAAAAATAAAAAACAAAATTATAAATCACACTACTTGTACATAATAAAATTTGAATAAATCAATATTAATATACTATTTACCTATACATTGCTATATTTATTTCATTCGATTCAGTTAATTTCAAGTTGACAGGAAGTGGAATTTTACTGTTTTTATTGAGTATTGTGGGTTGAGGTGGTTTTTTACTTCTGTAATGGAAGACATAAAATACATTGATTATTATATCATTAACTATAAAAAAAGAATTTTTGAACAAAAAATAATTTACTAACATAAAATCAAACATTAAAATATTTACTATATACCTATATATATATAATTAAATAATTAAATAAATAAATGCTTAGCCTAGAGTATTATACTTGTAGAGTATGACCAGTTATAAAATAAAAATTCATCATCAGCTATGTATAAAATAAATAAAAATATAATGCATTTTTAATTTAAAACCGGTCATACCTTACAAATATATTAACACTCCAGGCTAAGCATTTATTTATTTGAATATTAATTTACGAGTATAAACCATTTCCTAATTTTTAATTTAAATTAAATTTTTTATTATTTTTTTAATAAAATATTTATTATAAGATAAAATTATAAAATTTCTTAACAAGATGAGTTATGGATTCTCAAGAATGGATAAAAACTGAAAGTAAAAAAAATTATTGAAATTTCTTAATATTTGTATTTATATAATATTCTGCATCATGTATTATATTCAACTATATTCAACTATAAAATACCTGCTATGATCTGAAATTTTATTATTTTGATCGGAAGAGGTTAATGATTTAATACTTATGTTAGATAATTCGTTTTCATCAAAATGCTTTCCATTAATATTCATAGCATCACTGTTCCGGTTTCTAGCCCATTTTCGGTGAGCTGTAAATAAATCAAGCATTGTTTTTTTGTTTTTGTTTTTTAAGTTTTGTATATTATAATTTAAATTTAAAAATACTAAATTAAAAACATTCAATCACACAATAAATAAATAATTAATAATTATTTTCAAAAAAATCAATGGCGTTATATTGAAAGAATAAATTTATATTCATTACAATATTAATTAAATGTTAGAATATAGTAAATCATAGCAAATTAAGTGCATAAACATAAACTGACATTAGTTATTTGTTAAATTGTTTAAATTTACAATTTTAACAACAGACCTTCATCGTCTTCTTCAAAACATACAGTTGGTTTTGAGTTGGTCATATCATAGTAATTATCATTACCATTTAGATGACGATCAACGACTCTTATTTCCAATTTTCCAGAAACTGTTTCCATGGGACAATTTTCAGACACATCATTTCCTACGTACGTTGTAATTTAACAAATGATTTTAAATTTACTGAAGAGTTATAGAAGAATTAAAATTGAATTTTTATCAAAAACAAAAAATAAAAATTTTATAATATAAAAATATTGATACTATAAATACTAATTAATTATAAATTGTTTTAAAAATAGATAAATAAGTCCAAAAATATTTTAAATAACATACTGTAAAAGGGTTTATGAAATATTATTTATTTATATTGAAAAATACATGAATATAGTGTATGTTTTAATTATTAGAATAATTTGTAATAAGAGACTTGAAATTTATACAAATTTTAATCTAGCAAAATAAAAAAAAAAAAGTCGATGTACATAAAATATCTTCAATATTTATACATTCAATTATATATTTATAAATGTTTAAATATAGAGCAAAAAGTCGCTTTCAAAAATATTTATTTAATACTTACCATTTTTTAGAGATTCATCGGCAAATAATTTCCCCGATAATTCATCACCATCATTGGAAGATCTGGTTGTGTTAGTGGTAACTTGCAATGAAGGAACTTTTAATTTCATTTTTGTTTGTCGTATAAACTGAGTTTGAAATTCTTTTTTAGGAATAATACTCATACTAATATTCTATAAACCATGAATAAATATAAACTTAATTTTTTAACACAATAACAACATTAATCAAACTTGGGATGGCACACGATACAAAGAAAACTTACGACTAAACTGACAGATCTTTGTAATTTCTTTGAAATACTTTTTTCTGAGTTCCTTACAGCTATATTTCTGGTAGTATCAAGTTCATACACAATATCATCAAGTACAGCTTCTTGTAACCACGGTGGTTCAAGGTTTGTTCTAATAAGAAAAACATTTTTATTTCAATTGTACATTATTTCATAAGTATACTACTAATATTTAAATTATTTTACCTTATTTTGGTGGCAATTTGTATTTCACTCCAAGCTCGAGATAAAACTGAATTATGTAATAAATTTTCATTACATTTTGAAAAACATTTTACTAACTGATCCCTACCAGTTATCTTATCTGGAGTTTTACATAAACTGTTTAGGTAATGAGGAGAAGAGTTTTCTTTTCCACTCTTTATATATATATATATAGAATATTGAAAATATTTTAATTAGAAAACTTTCATACGGCTTAATAATGAAAATACACTTACGAGAGAAACACCATGTAAACTCAATCTATGTTCAGGGCTTTGAAGATGTTCACCTTTCCATTCGTTATCAGTTTCTTCAGAATCATCAAATTGTGATTTCCACTGTGACATTAGAGTGAGTCCTTCATAAAATATGTCAAAATATTTAATTATACAGTTAAAACAATGAGAAAGTTAAACAGAAATTGTATATACCCCCTCCGCCTCTTGTGACTTGTTGCATAGCAGATATATTATCATCATCAATTACTGCAAACTGAGTGTAAGTAACATCTCTTGTAGTAGTAGTCGACTTTAAAATTTGTCTATTAGGAGTAGCTTGACGACGAGCAAAATGTAAACTGCGTTGTTCTTTTTTTATTTGGTTTATAATACTATCTGCTTCAACTATAGGAGAGCCAGCTGTTGTAACTGAAATTTAATTGTATTATAATATTTAAAAAAAATGTATTATAGTTCACATTGTTACCTTTGTTAGCTTCTTGTGTTGTAACCACTGATGTTGAAGTGTTTATATTGCCTACATCTGAAGTAGCAATACCTTCATTGTTTAATGGTGTTGCTGGAAATCCAGAATCTACAGTAGTTTGAGAAGAATTACGTTTAGAGGCTTCTAAAATTTCTGTTTCTCTTTCCAAACCAGGCATAGAAACAGCTCTTCGCTGAACAATTTTCTTTGGAGAGCCTATAATAATAAATAATAATGTAATATAAGTAAAAAATTTATTATTAATCAAATAGTTATACTTTTGGGTACTGGTAAATGATCTAATGGTGTACTAGATGAAGCATAACAATTTTTATTAGTAGAAATAATTTTATTGGAACCTATATTAGTTGCATCAGTTTCAAGTTTTTGGGCACGTCGGTAAATTATATTATTATCACATTGTACTTGCTCCTTAAAAAAATAAAGAAATCATTATAATAATCATTCAATATATTAAATATATAATTTCAATAATTATATAGAATAATTTACCTCTGGAGTAATTTTTGTATTGTCTGGTTCTTCTTCTTGTTCATTATCTACTGTGGAAGTAACTAGCTGATTATTGATTTCTGCACCATATGATGTGCAAGTGATTGGTCTGGATATAATTGGAGTTGTATTATTTGTAATAACACTAACTGTTACTGCTGGTTGAACTGTTTCAGTAGGCTTTTCCCAATCAAATGGATCAGATTCCTTAACTCCACGTCGTTTCATACAACGTTCAAAAAGACTAGTCAACATGTTATAATCTGGTTTGTCCGCATATTCAAGAGACTAATAAAAAAAATAAAGCTTTATAAATGCATTGAAAAATTGTCACGGTTTATTTTAAAATTATGCCCAGTATAATACAAGGGTTCTATAGACATCTTTAAAAATTCACTGCATAGATTCAACAAATTTTTATTCAAATTGCTTACTTTTAATAAATATATCATATATCATTTTTAGTGTTTCAACAACTAAATAATTTTACTAAATGGTCCCTTAATTAAAACAATTTGAGAAGCTTTATCTTAAATTACTACAGTTAAACTACTACAAGTACTAAAATATAACAGTATTATATTAAAAAAAAAAGCTTTGAAATAAGCTCAACATTTATAAAAATGAAATAGATTATAATAAAATTGCACTTTTTTAATACTGTCAAATGTTCGATTTTTTTTACCCCAAATAGTTTCAGAATCATTAAAAAGCAATAAATAAAATATATTCTGTAAATTATTTTTTTTTAAAAATATAAAAATTAAAATATCAGAGTCTACCTGAATATGTTCCAGAAATTGACGTAGATCTGATGGAAGATGTTTAAGGAGAGAACGGTGGTCATAATTTTCTTTCATTACACCAACCTGTTCTTTATCTTTAATTTTTCTCCAAGGTAACTGACCATTTACAAATTCAGCCAACATATAAAATAATGACCATAAATCATCATGTCTTCCCATTTCCTAAAAATCACAATTGTTAGATAATATGAAATTAAAGACTGTTTATAAAATATAACTTATTTATCCTTTATTTTTTTATTTATTAACATTGCATTTTTTTATACTGTACTAATTATACTCAATAATATTTTATATTTTACATACATAATATTTTATCTTAAATTTAGAACTAACTAATTAAGGAAACTTACTTTATTTTTGTGAGCATTCAATGAAGCATATCTGACAGTACCACGAAAACCTGCAGCAGTTCTAGGAGTTCTAACTTCTCCATTAGCTGTTGTAAATTGCCTAGCTAAACCATAGTCTAACATGAAAACACATCGGGCATTTTGATAAAGTCTTCCGATAGCAAAATTTGACTATAAAATAAAAATTTAATCATAAAACAAAAATACTTAATAATTACATAACCAGTAAACTTACAGGTTTAATATCTCTATGTAAAAATCCAACTTCATGAATACTTTCTATAGCTTTTAAAATTTGAACGCCTAATCTTAAAGTAGTAGACAATGAAAAAGCACCTCTTGGTTGTGCCCTTCTCAACTCTGCTAAATTTTTACCTTGTAACTGCATTACAACATAATTGAAACGTTCATTTCTTCCACAGCCAATAAATCGACAAACATGTTCTTTACCTGCATTTATTTATAAAAGTTATGAAATATATATTATTTATTTGTTTCTTAAGTTGACTAGTATTAAAAGCCATACAAAATAAATAAATAAATTTAGTTCTGGTTTTAAATTACAAAATTAACTAGTTTAAAAATTCTAAAGTGTAAAATGTCCCTATTAGATTTCAGGAATTAAAAAAAATATACCTATTTTAAGGATTAATATTTATTTGATTTCATTCGGCAAAAGAGAGTACATTTTTGTTAAAAATGCATCAACGTAAAGTAAAATTATATTTTTTAAAAATAATTTCAAACCAAATTAAATTATTATGAAATATTATTCTTAGTTCTGTCATGTATATGTAATACAATATATATTGCATAACATAAAAATTTTGCTGTTTATCCAAAAATGCGCTGAGGTCATAATAGCAATAATACGAGTAAATAAAATTATGAAATTTTTTATTTAATATATTAAGATATATTTGTAGGGTATCGATAATGCACATAAGCGAAAATAATTAAAAAATAAATAAAAATGTGTACACTAACAGTATAAAAAATATAAACTAGGGAAGGAATGAGTAAAAAGGGCAATGACAAATTATTGATTTGTCGGTTCATTCAAGCTACTCCGTTCAAGAATAATAATTTTTTTGATTGTAAATTAATCACTCTGTAAGCAGACAATGATTTATTTTTTTTATATTTTAAAAGAATACATTTTTTTATTATACCTTGAAAATTGATTTGAAACTGTATTTATTGTATTTTCCTTAAATCATTACTCTAATTTTTATGAATAATATTATTTTTTTACGAAGTTGCTAGTGCGATAATAATTTAAAAATTAATATAAATTAAAAATGAATTTATAAAAGACACATTTTCTCTCTACCCAATGATCATAACTTTGAAATTTAAAGTGGACAGGGAAAGCATAGTCTTTAAAACAATTATTTTTGCATTAATACTTTGTTTGAAAGCATATTCTTCAAGTTTTAGTTAAAGAGAAATTTTTTGTCCAAGCAAGGTTAATCAATTTGAAAACAAGTAAATGGGAGAGGCATAGTCTAATAACAGTTGTAGCCTTCAATAAATTTTATTTAAAATTAAAAAAAGAAAATCATTTATTGTTGCATGGGATATTAGATCAAGGGGTACACAAAAGTTTCAAAAATTAATTGTTAAAACTGTAAAATATTATAAAATATTATAAATTAAAATATTTATTTAAAAATAAAACTTAAACCAACAAAATAAATAGATGACATTTTATAACTATAGATTTTTTTTAATATATGTGCCAATATTAAAATATACACATTATAAATATTTACCTTGCAATTTTTTTAATACAGCGACTTCCATTTTTAAGACCTGTTTTGGTTGGCGAGCAGATTCTACTTTTAAAGCTATTAATTCTTTAGTCACAAGATCTTGACCTTCATAAATTTCTCCAAAACCACCACCACCAATTTTTCTGGCCTGAAAAGTTTAGTTTACATTAATAAAATAAAAATTAATCAGAAATAATAATATATAATTTATAGCGAGATAATAATTTTAAGATCAAAATTATTAATATAGAATAATGCTGATGCTAATGAAACTATGCATGATTTACTCTAAATAAATTAACTTAATATATATTTATTAAAATATTATTTATTTATTGTAATAAAAATGTATATAATTCAAACCTTCCATATAATTATTTATAAAATAATTCATTAAGCATAAATTTAAAGAATCTAAATAAACTAAAATGTAACAATATATCTGTTCTATTAATGTATTTATTCATATACAGATTTATTTAGTCATTGTTATATTGTACATTATAAATATGCTTTTTAAAAATCATAACAAGATATTTATTAATTTATGTTATTTTAATAATAAAAAATAAGAATTATTAACAATAATGGGCTATTATTCTATCTTATAATAAACTTTTTTTATTATGCAGAAGAAAAGTTGAAAAAATAATTTGGACTTAATCCAAAACTGAAATTAAACATTGTTAAAATAGCTATAAAATATTTCATACTTTTGTTGGATTATGTGAAATTATTATAACACATCTAATTATATTTGTTTAAATTGAAGATTGATTTATTTTAATTCAAAAAATATAAAAGTAAATTAATTATTTTGTTTTTATAATAGTTATTTGTTATTTGAATTATAATTAAATATTAAATTTTATAATTGTTTAATTTGAAATATGACTGGTTTGCCTTCATAGCAATTATGTACATTAAAAGTTGAAATAATTGTATACTTTATTAATAATAAATTAAACAATTAAAAATTATTTAAAAAAAAATATAGTAAATTTAAGACCAAATTTAGAATAATGAATTTAAAAAATTTATATTATTATTGATTTATTTAAAATAATAAATCCTAATTTACTTGAACCAAATTACTTTTATCATTCAATACATACAAATTAAAAAATATAAAACATTAAAAATACATTTTAAACATTCTTGACATTTATTCTGTAAAACTCTCAATACTTAATATAATTACATTTTTTAAATATAATTAACTATAGGAAAACTAATATTTTATATAAGTTTTAAAATAAATATGTTAAACTCTTAAGTAAATTTAATGTCAGAATTTAAAAAATAAAATAAAAACAATATTACATTACTTAAAACAAAAAATAGTAGAATAGTGTTGACATAATGGACAATGAAAATTATAAATAGACAGTAAAATGAGTGGGAGACAAAATATTTACTTACAACTTTCCACCTTTCCTTTACTATATGTCCTGGTTGTAACAGATCTTCAGAAGACATTGTTAACTTATTTAATTAATATATAATACTCAAGTTACAATATGCTTTGGAACTGTTAGTTAAGTTTATAACTTGCTAGTTTTATTTGGTCATTACTGAAACAAACAAAAATGTAATAATTACACAAGGTTCAAAATGGTATCAATTTACATATATCATATATATATTAAATTATTAATTATGTTTATTGTTGAAATAAATAGTTATGATCTTATTTAAATAACTATATCTGACATCTTGAAATATTTAAACTAATACTGATATGAAAAAAAAATTTGATTACATTTTAATAAAATACTAAATACTCAATAAATGAAAACACATTTATTTCCAAAATAAGTATTGTTTTTAATAGTAAAATGGTATTATGAGCTGGCATTTATAGAAGATAAGGATTTAATTGAAATTAAATTCAACAAAACACTTGTTAACTATTGTATATTTACAAAGTATTATTCAATAATGTTTAAAAAGTCTGCTTAAAATTACTTGAATATTCTAGCATTAATATATTTGTTTAAATGTTAGGAACTAAAATAAAACTTTGTTAGAAATTTTATTTTAAAAAATTTTAATATTTGTTTTAATTTTGTTAAGTAAAAAGAATTTCACTTACTAATATATAAATAAAAATATACATTAAAATAACACTTAAATAATTTTTTAAGAACACAATTATTTTAATGACTTATACCACCACAGAAACTATTAGAAAATATATTTTAATATTTATACATACATTTTTAAAAAAATTATAATATTTTTATTGGCAAATGATTATGAAAATGTCATTATAAATAAAACGTGAAATATGATATTTTAAGAAACTGAATTAGGTATACTATCTAATTTATTAAAATAAAAAAACAATTAACTAACCTAAATATTTAAAAATGTAAATTTATACTGAATAAATAACTGAATAGATATATAATTTGAAATAATACACAAAAGAATTAATACTTAAAGCTTTTTAAATGCAAGAAAAAAATCAAAGAAAATTTATTATAATTTCAAATCATTTGTAGATCATATAATTTATTGAATTTATAAAAAAATTTTCATTACACATTAAAGAAATATATAGGATAAGTAATCTGTACTTTTTACAATGTTATTTTTAATAATTCATTTTTGTCAATTTTTATTTTTTATAAATTCGTATATCACTATATAAATATTATTTAAAAAAGAAAAAAATTAAACATCAAGTAAATTTATTAAATAATAGTAATTTGAGAATAGTTATAAGATAAGTATTTGATACTAATTTTTTCTATATATTTATTAAATATGAAATACAATACTTCATACATTATTATATTAAATTGTACAAATAATATATATCATATTTATATATCTTATAACTATTCTCAAATTACTATTATGTAATAAATTTACTTGATGTTTAATTTTTTTCTTTTTTAAATAATATTTATATAAATTTCTAAAAAATAATAGTTGACAAAAATAAATTATTAAAAATAACATTGTAAAAAGTACAAATTAGTTATCTATATATTTTTTTTAATATATTATGAAAAAATATTTTTATAATTTGATTAAAATTTTGCTTATCAAAAATTCTAGTAAACAATTAAAAGATTGCAATGCAGTAAAGAATGTCATAAAGTATATCAATTGGTAACTTTGTTGGGTCACAATAGGACAAATGTATTGAATTTTAGTTCAATCAAAAATAAAACTAAATAATTTAAAAATATATATATTGGCAAACTTACATTACCTATTAGAAATGAAATAGTTTAACAGATTTGTTAGGTTAATTTAATAACAATTATTGGATAACATATTTGTTTTTTGTAGTCAATGGATACTTAAATATCTCAATTTACAATAAATTGACATACAGTCTATTATATTTTAGGGAAATTTATGATAGATACATTATCATTTAATGAAAATGATTTAATTTTATTTGTTTATTATAGATTTAAATTTGTAAATCATATAAATTAATACATTTAATTTTTAATAATACTTCACCTATATTTCTTCTAATAAAATGTTAAGTCAACATATATTACATTATAGTATATACATGGGCAGGCGCGGATCTAGAAAAGAAAAAAGATGTGGGCTAGTAAAGTGAGTTACTGCCATAATCTATTGCACATGTTGATTTGTACGAAGAAAAAAAATAGTAATATTCAATAGAAATAACAAATTTATAATAAAAATAACAAACACTTTCAATGTGAAAACCAACAATTAACTTTGGCCTTTTTAAGTACCTACCTATTAAAAGTTTAATATTTACTTTTTACAAAAATACTAATACAACAAATGATATCATAATATCAATGTTAATTATTAATATACTATATATATTAATTTATTAGTACCAAAATTTAATTTCTTATACACTAATAGAGTACCAAATAAATAAATAAATTCTGTTCTTTTGAAAAGTATTCATGTGAAAAATTTTTGCCACCATGTCATATCATCCAGAAATTAAGTGTGGATAAGTACCTAATGTAATAAAAAAAAGAGTTCCTTTATGATTGTACACGGGGTAAAGAAGTTATTGATTTTAAAATAATGTTGGAATTGGTTATTTTGAAAGACATTTTAAGAAAATAAAAAAAGTGAAAAAGTTAATAAAACACTCTTATAAATAAAACATTCAAAATGTTAGATTACCTAAATTTAAATAATATGAAAATAAAAATAAATATGAATATATCAGATTTGGAAAAAAAAACAAAAGACAACAAAATAAAGAAACCTTTATAACTATTTGGCAATTCATCATATTTAAAAACATTATATTTATATATATATATATATAAGGCAATACCAATTTGTATTAATATTTATTTTGTTGTGAAATGAAGTAAACATTTATACTTGTTTTCAGTGTACACATTTATTATTCATATTCAGTATACATATTATCAGAGACATATTTTGTTTAATATTGATGTGATTCTACTTAACTTTTTAAAGTTATTTTAGTTGTTTTTATGTAATTTTATCGTAAATTATATTATATAATATTATATATATATATATATATATATATATATATAATATTAATCATAAATTACACTGGCAAATTGTTATCACAATAGATTTATTTAATGTGCCTAAACTATAAGAATATAATATTTTTAATATTTAATTAAAAAAAATTTGTATATGAATTTGGAAAGGGGGGACAGCCCTGGGCTAAAGTAAATTTATGGGGGCCCAGTCCACCCCTAGAAATGTATCTGCATAAAGGTAAGAGTTTTGTATCCAATAAAGTCCATTTTTTTTTTTTTTTTTTTTATTTAAATATTGATAAACAACATAATAAATTTAATTAAAACTTTGTTGAATCATTAAAAAATCATTAAAAGTTAAGCTCTTGATTAATAATAACATAAAAATAATAGTTTTATAATTATTCTCGGTTATTGAGATAACTATGAATCAATGCTATGTACTACCTATATTAATTTTCGTTTAAGAATTACATGAAAATATGTTACTTTTATTTTAATTGAAAACCCTTTAAAATACACTTATGAGAACTTTATATATACTTTATATAATTATTTAATTTTTCATATATATTATAAAGATTATTTTTGAATAATAATATATTATTTTAATGGATAAGACTACATAATCAGTCAAAATGTTTATTGTCATTTATAAGTGAAAATGAAAAGTACTGCACATTAGAGTTACCAAAAAAACTGATTGCAAAATTAAGCTATACATTAATCACTAATTAGGATTAGATATATTAGATTGTAAAAGTTGAATGGCCTCATAATGAACCGTTTCTCTATTAACCTAGATAATAACTAAAATGTAGTATTAATCTGGATATAAAATCAATGATATCAACTAGATTCTATTTCATAAAATAATATCTTAGGTAAAAACAATCTTATTACTTCAGTAAAATTAATTTTGAAAATTAGTATTCTATTTTAAAAAAATATTTATATTTACATATAGGTAAGAGTAATGTTTAAAAATAAAACACAACCATTAATTGAATGAATTTAAACAGAATAAAAATGAATTATAAAAAGAACCAAAGATTAAATTGAAAACTGCAAATTTATTGATTACTAAATGATTATAGCCAATATTGTAGTATGAGATGAACTTGAATTGAAATTATAATTTCATTGTACACATGTAATAAAATTTAAAAATAAATAAATAAGAATAAACATTTTATAGTAATTAGTGTTTTGAAATCTTCATATTGTTATCAAAATTATAAAAAAATATGTGAAATTAATTTTATTCACTGCAGATTTATAGTAAATTTTAGTGAAACCAAGAGTTACGAGAACACTGAGGAAATTACAAAAGTACCATATGTGAGTGATCGACGGTGACATGGTAACAATGAAATTTAATAAGAACATATGCCGTGAAGTCATCGACTAGTAATTAAGAACAGAGGCAGCAGCAGCACGGATATACGTTAAGAAAGTTACGAATAGGGAAGAACATTGTCAACAGCGAAATTCCCTGGAACCGTTTACAGCGGCTCGAGTTTGACGATGGGAACTACTTCCACCTGATGGTTGTCCCAAAAAAGATCGAGAGGACCAGTCGCAACATCGTGGTCGTAAACGCGATCAGAATCCTCCGGCTAAAATACGGAGAACAGGGACAACGGTTTTGTTTCCGGCTAACGAAACGACTGTTGGAGGTGGTGTTGTAAGCGATGGATTAAATGGAAAACAGGTACTTACGGGGCTTAAGTGTACAAGCGTATTGATAACGCGCCGCAGACGGACGGTGACCGGTTACGAGTGCCCGTTCAGCAGGACAACAAGTCCAGGCACGACGTACGAGCACCGTTGTCGTCGACCGCGACAGCAACAACAACGATAGCACGACGGCGACGGAACGTCGTCATGATAAGACGCGCGAGAAACTACCCCGTCGGCGGCGGCGGTGGTGGCGGCGTCATCGGTGGAACACCCGGGTCTCCGGTGGCGGCGGCGGCGAAACGGGTAGGGACTGTAACTACTATTACTATCGATAGTAGATAGTGCCTTCCTTAACTATTCTGACGGCAGTGATATATTATCGTCAAGAAAGGTGGCGGTCGCTCGCGGTCAGGAGCAGGGGAGTCGGGAGGGCGACGAAAAATTACGTGCACCACGACAGCGGACGTTATTATTATTTTCGATGTACGGCAACGGGACGCGCGGCCCGCGTTATTGATCGTGTCCGTCCGTCCGGTGCGTCGGTCGGTAACGTCGCGTCGTTACTGCGTGATCGGAGAGCGCGACGCTACGGCGTGCGTCAGTGGTTGACGGTGAAGCGGCGGCGGCGGCGACTATATAGGCGGGACGCGGTCGCGGCGCGGGTGTCCGATTGCACTCGGCGACGGACTATTATATTTTTATTATTATTGTAATGTGGTCCGCGCGCACCGACCGGATTGGTTGTTTTATGTTACGAGAAATGATCGGCACACCTGGTTACGTGACTACGGTAACGAGCGACAGAGAGGAGATGGCCGGACAAAAGGGAAAAGAACCGTTTCGCGCGGATCATTGATTATATTGTGTGCGCGATTTTTACCGTGGACGGGTTATCATGCGGTCGCGCGCACGCGTCGAACCGTAGCGCGAGCGAGGGGCGGGCTAGCCCACCCGCCAACCGTCCCCGGTCAGCTGTTGCCCCAATTCAGCCACCCGTCCATTATTGTTACGGTTATACATGTACAATAGACGTTACACGTAGTAGTGGATAAATCGATTGCCCGGGGCGGCGGCGGCCGTTTTCCTGTCGTGTCGGTCGTCCGACATGAATGAGACGTAAGTCGGATATAACCCCATATGTTTTCACGACGACAACGACCTACGCGCATGTATACGCGAAGCATCACATCACATCTCACGCACCCCCTACCTTCTAATACTACCCTACGAGAGGTTCGATCGCCGCCCCGATAATAATACGTATCGGTTTAGGTATCGGCCTAAAGACCTAAATATTTTTAACATAATTTTGATGTCACGTCTCCGATGTTCACGAACCGCATTGAAATTGGTCGAATACACGACGAACGTGAGCTGACGAAAACGCTGTCGTTCCTACTTGGTGAAAGGATAAGGACAGCGGTAGTGGCAATGGGGTGGGAGGGAAAGAAAAACCAATCGATTTAATTGCGAAAACCCCGTTCCAAACGGTTATCCTATTTCAGACCGTTATACTGTTGTACAACAAAAACGTAAAACGTGTGGTTTCGAAAAATTGTTATAATGCGTCGACGAACGGCCGGAGAGCGGACCGGTACAATAGGTGTAACGTAGAAGCGGCTCCAGAGCCTTGGTTAGGGGGGGGGGGAAGTTATAATTTTACAAAATCTTATAACAAAAAGAAAACAACAATTTAGTCCGTACAGTATGTCCGTCAGTACAGTCCGTATGCTACGCAATTCATGTTTTGAACATTATAAAATAATAGTATCATACCATAGTACTGCGGTTCCCAAACTTTTACGACCACGGAACCCTTAAGAAATATTTTTTGTTCCGTGGAATCCCAACGTCTTTAACTTTAACTTAACACCAATTCTGCAATTATTTATTGAAAAACCAATAATCCAAAAGAATTTTAAAGATAGTTCATTGTTTACTACAATTATTGTTCTCAATTTTCAGGTACATCTCGCGGAACCGTCAAGATTATCTCACAGAACCCTTAGGTTCCGCGGAACACATTTGGAAATCGCTGCCATAGTATATTTTATATTAATATAGTTTATTTATAGCCTTATTGGTTCTTCATAATATAAATAGTAGGTACATCGTACACACCGTCATACTGCTATGACTCCATCTACATACTTGTGCGTGTTGTATAATCAGTGTTCGACTCGAGGAGGGGGACGGAGTACTCCAACTAATTTTCAGAAATGTTAGCGTCCCCCTACTATTATTACGCCATAATCATAACGCTCAGCCAGTTTTGGAGACGTTCTTTTTTTTAAAGTAAATAGAGTCACCCTTCTTTAATTTTGCCAAGTCGAGCACTGCGTATAATAGTCCATATTATTATATGTATTTTTAACAATATCAATGTTTTTATAAATACGGTACGGGCTTGGGGGGGCGGCCCCTAGTTTCCCTCCTACAGCCGCTTCTGGTGTAACGATATTGTAATAGTATTATCATAGACAGCCGCGGTCTTTGGTCGTCGCAGGGAAAACGTGACGAAAAATGTGTCGCAAAAGGGATGACCGAGTCCGTGTGTGTGTCATTGGCACACGGCACACTAGTAGAGAGAGGAGACCGCGATGACGTTCGGTGAGTTTTGCATGTGTGTGTGTGTGTGTGTGTGTGCATGTTATCGTGCACGCGTATACATTACGCGCGTAATAAGGATGTGTGCGAGCGCGCGCGCGTGTGTTGGTACATTATTTCGAGAGAGAGTATAAAAATAATAATATACAAAAAACGACACGCTGTCTTTCTTTTCGCTCGGACGTCGTCCGTATCACTGTAGCAGTAGTCATGCGCACTTAAAAATAACCCTTTACCCGACCAACTGCCAGTGTACCGTTTAGTTTATTGCTATTTGTTATGCACAATACATATACAATATTATAATAATAAAATATAGCATGTGTTGCTGCTACCGTTGTTGACTGGGTTGTGGTTGGGTACTTGTTGTTATTATTATTACTCTATTATGAACTCGTGGATCGCATTAAATTGTCACACACCTACTATACCGTATGATAATGGTAATAATAATAATATTTTTTTTTATTATTATAATTTAATGTCATCTATCGTGATGTTTTATAAATTGTCGCGTCGTGAAAATAGTCCAAAGACACACGACGGCACGCATACCTACCTAATTTATAGCATACTCGACCGCCGCACCTTACATAGATATACGACGATATTCTTTTTTTCCGCCCGACCTACATACATTTTATTATATTATCATTTGTCACCGTAGTCCGTGGAAAACTTTTTATCACTAGGATTACCATCCGTTTGAACGTGATTTTAAATTTGATTTACTATAAATAAACCTTTAAAATAAATACATATACAATACCTTTACATGCAAAAAGTGTAATATTACTTTATAATACGATAGTATTTCAAATTTAAAACAGAGATGTACATACCTTTTTATTTCTATTTCGGAGTTTTACATTTGTTATTACAATCGGATGTTGAAGTTGAATACGACGATTTGGTGATAAATTATTAAAAAAAATTACTTACACATAATAAGCTACCGAATAAACCTCTATTAGTATACAAAATAAAATAAATTTACTGTGGAAACATCAAAAAATAATTTTTAAATGTTTCAATAACTTCAAGAAGTAGGTAGTAGATTTACTGATGTAAAAAGAATACCACAAAAGAATAATAAAAAATTGGTTGTTCTGTCAATGAATGATTTTAACTTCTAAAACCACATCGGTGGGCTTTAAATAAATCTCATTCAAATTAAACATAACGGTTGCAACGAAATTGAATAATCGACCAATGCATTAAAATAATATTATCACGAAAAAGTCACTGTCGTGATAGAAGCCCTGAATCTGCGAAATGCTATTATATCAATCTTATGACAAAATGGAAGTGTAGAAGTTGTGATAATTATTAAATTAATTAATGGAAATTGTTTTGTTCATGTAATATTTGCTCCTACTACTCCAGTCTAAGAAATAATATTATTAAAAATCAATATAAAGAGATAATAATGCATTGCAATAATAATCATTGAATTAAAATAATTTTAACTACACAGTCCAAAGTCAATTATCATTTATCAACAATAAATCCAGTCAATAAGTCATTATGCTATTGATTACAAGAAAAATGTACATATATAACTACAAAAAGCAAAAGGTAGAGTTTTAATTAAGTTTTATTATTAATTTAGTACTCGGAACATTCAGAAGAAAACCTTAATTTATTTTATAGATATACCTACTTAAATTGTACTTAAGTTATATAGTAGTAGTAAAATGTATACATATTTTTTTAATTATAATAAAAAAAACTCGAGTGCTGTCGCTAACGGTTTGATATATTAATTAATAATTGCATAGATTTTAATAGATTTGTCTTGTTTTAAAATAATAATTTAAAAGTAATATAAATATTAATAGTTTATGATTAACTTACAGACGAATTTTAATATTGTTCATCAACATTAGATATTTACTTTTACAGTAAATTGATTAATGAATAATTTATTTCTTAATAATAATACTAATAATAATATTTTTATTCAAATGTATGTGAATAAAAATAGGATGTAGTCTAGTGGTACAGATTAATTATAACTAACATTATATAACATGTAAAATATGAATAATATTTTTTAATAATTGCGGCTGGTTTATAATTATCATTATAAATACCTCCTTATTCATCAATGTAGTATTAAATTATCGGTATATTAAATTTTCAATTTAATTACAATAGGCAGTCTACAGTTCTATCATTAATTATATTAAATGAGTTGTATGCTATAATCAATAGTCAAAATGGGTTAAAAAAAAATCAATAGGGGTTTGTAAAATAATTACGCTGTTAACAAAAAATCTTAGAATAGACCCTGTTAAAATGAATTAACTTTGTATATTTTTATTGATATGCTTTTCAAGTGTCTAGTAATAAATACCCAAATTCCCCAAACAATATAATACGTCACATCGTAAAACCAATGTTTGAAAATAGTAAAAATACGTAATCAGAGAATGCTAATATTTTTTTTGCAAGGTTTTTATAAGATTAAAAATAGTTATTAGTATATAGGTAGTTGTATATATAAATTTTAATTAATATTTTCAAAAAGGTATTCAATAAACCTTAACTTTAATAACAATGGTTCTTTTTAATTGTTTGTTTTTTATTTTGGCACACAAAAATTGTTAAGTTTTAACTCTTGTCAAACTTTTATGTCGACAATAATTGAATAACTACCTACATGATTTAATGAAACAATTTTAGTCTTTTAATTTATTATAAATTGTTTTTTAGAGACATTAGTTTAATTAAATTTTATCGTAGATATTAGGCATTTTGATAAGACAGTATTTGTAGATTAATTAATGTTTTATATATTTTGTTTTTATAATAACAGAAAAAGAAAAGAAAATAGCATTTATTACAACGCATAGTTCATGTTATGTTAGTTTATAACAAATCTAACTCCAGACAAACAATTTTGTAGTACAGCGATTACACAGAGTCCAAAAGTGGACCGAGTCGGGAGGATAGCCAGTAAAATCAGCTAGGACAGAGCCAGTATGAGCATTCATAATCTGGGCCAATGTGTGGCTTATGCGTATAGATGCGAATATTCATTATATTTATTGTACTTCTTAAAACAAGTATTGAAATATGTAAAATATAAGAAATTAAATTGCCAATTTAATAAATCACACATGGTATATGTAAAATAAAATTTAATATTTGATATGTATCAATGAGTATGAAGTATAGGGAAAGGTTAGTTTACGGTTTTACGGTTTATTAGTTTTACGGTAATTCTTCCAATCGTGTACACTAATAGGTACATGACGTAA